AAGGGATCAAGCCCTTGGCTACAGGAGTCCATCAGCTAACTGGAACCAGCCCTGGAGCCACTCGGCTCAACCCTGCAACAAAGTGGTGGCAGCCGCTGGAAGCTGATGCATTTTCTATCAGGGATACAAGTGTAGCAGTATCCTGTAGCTCTGAGCATACAAAGATTTAGGTACAGGCCACAGAAAAGACAACCATTCTCATGGTACGCTCTAAGTTTCAGGAAGGGGAGTCAACCATGACTACGAACTGGTAATCCATGTTCTTCTCCGAGATGTGGTATAACTGTCCAATAAAACCTCCAACAAAACACAGAGGACAAGGGGGGTAACCATCAGAAGCAAGGTAGAGGTGATAGAACAGAGGCATGAGCTCTATCAACAACATCTAAACTCTTCCCAACAGGTGTGAAAGAGTTTTTAGACAATGCTGCACATTGATGGAGACAGTGGCAGGGAAAGAACAATTCTCTTCCATGACCACTGAAATGTTCTAACTCTAAGCCCGTGTAGGACACAACTGTGAGTTTAAGGGTCAAACAACTAGGAATTTAAGTTCCTTAGCTCTTCGATGTACACTACTCCCTTTAGACAGTACTCCTACAATAATCGAACATCAAACAAGCTTTAGAAGCTTTAGGCACTTGTTTGTCTCAGCATGCCAGAGTCAAAAGCTGCAACAATTCAGGTAAATATCAACAGACACAGAAGCTGAAATTTTAGGATATTTTTTTAAAATGAATCCTGTAGAGCACCTACCTTTCGGAGAATGTCTTCTGCTAATGTGAGGAATGCCTTCTCAATGTTTATATTTGCTTTTGCACTAGTTTCGAAAAACCTAATACCATGCTCCCTAGCAATCTAAACCAAAAAAGAAAGAAGAGGTTAGCATTACTGTATGCAACTGCTGCGGTGATAACTTGGGGATTAGCAGCATTTATAAGCATGTAATACTCTTTCGGCTATAGCAGGCACCAGAAGTACTGAGCTAAGCAAAGTGTCACAAAAGAAGATTTAGAACTTAATGATTCAGGAACAGTAATTAAGGCATATTAAATCACAAGTCAATGTCTGAACATAAGATGACAGACACTGTATGAGCCTGGCATGTGGTAAGTAACTTAACAAAGGATGCCTGGAAACTTTTAGGTATCAAAGAAGGAGAAACTGCAGCTGAACTCATTTGCAATGCAGCTTCTGAGAAAACATTCCCTAGACTTGCAAACCATTTGTAAATGCAGCCTCCTCACTCATTCCCTGGCACATCCCCTTGGGGCTGAGAGTCTTGGCACTGATTTCCTTACTTCTCTAAGCAAGCTTTTGTCTGACACTTACCTGTTCACCTTTTGCTTTAGGAACAACTCTTTTATCTTCCATGTCACACTTGTTTCCTAACAGCATCCTCTCCACATCTTCATTGGCATGCTAGAATGAGACAAAAGATGGGTTTACACATCTCTCCTGACAAACAGTAAATATCTACTTCACTTTGTACTTCCAGGCTGTTGGAAGTCCAGGCTAACATTTACAGGTCTTGGTGCCCTGCACTTTCCTGAGTTGTAACAAATACTGCTGGACATCATTCTTTGGACTGAATTGTTCATAAAACCTGGAAGTGGAATGAGTTACAGGTTTGACACAGCTCTATCATCATCCCAATGCCAGTTATTTTCCCCCTTTTTATTTCAGTAGTCTAAACATGAAGTCTTCTTTTCTGAAACCCAGATCCTTCTAGTTAAAAACACCACCCTACCAAATCTTCATTAGTTTGCATTCAGTAACATGGGAAAAGAATCAGCTTCCTGCCTGGCACTTAAGAAGTGTCAGGCGTTACGTGTGCTGGACAAGCACATTGCAGAAATGACGGTACAAAACATTACAGGACAAGAACTTGCCCACATCTACAGCTGCCAAGCTTTGTGCACTGGACTGGCAGAGTAATAAGCTGTGATTAAAAATCAGCCCTCCTAATTACTTCCTATAGCTGGTTAATTGCTTTCTCCTCCCCATTTTGCTGATCCACAATAGGGGAGATTAGGCAGGGAAGGAGTGACCAGGGAGGGAAACAGGACCCAAACAGAGAAATGTGGGAACCATGAAAGAAGGAGAACAGGTTGGAAAAGCCAGAAAGCAGAGCAGGGGGCTGCAGTGTATAACAGGGAGGTGAGGAGCTGGTGTTTCCTGCACAGCGTCAGGACAGGAGGATGCAGTGTCAGTCTGGGCAGGAATGAGGAACCCCAGATCCAGCCCATCTCCTTCTGGAGGTGCCAGTTGACTGGAGGTTAGCAAAACATGACACCCATCTACAAGAAGAACCAGAAGGAGGATCTTGGAACTACAGACCTGTCAGCCTGACCTCAGTGCTGGGAAAGGTTGTGGAGCAGATCATCCTGAGTGCCATCATGTGGCATGTACAGGACAACCAGGCAATCAGGTCCAGTCAGTACAGGTTTACGAAAAGCAGGTCCTGCTTGACCAACCTGATTCCCCTTCTATGACAAGGTGACCAATCACTGGATGAGGGCAAGGCTGTGGATGTTATCTACCTGGACTTTAGTAAAGCCTTTGATACTGTTTCCCACAGCATTCTCCTGGAGAAACTGGCTGCTCATGGCTTGGATGTGTGTACTCTTCTCTGTGTAAAAAAACGTCTGGATGGCTGAGCCCAAAGAATGTTGGTGTATGGAGTTAAATCCAGAGGGCAGCCAGTCACAAGTAATGTTCCCCATAGCTCAGTACTGGGGCCAGTTCTGTTTAATGCCTTTATCAATGATCTGGACAGGGGACTGGATCAAATGCATCCTCAGTCAGTTTCCCAGTGACACCACGTTGGGCAGGAGTATTGATCTGCTGGAGGGTAGGAGGCTCTGCAGAGGGATCTGGACAGGCAGGACCAATGGGCTGAGCACAATGATACGAGGTTCAACAAGGCTCAGTGCCAGGTGCTGCACTTGGTCACAACAACCCCATGCAATGCTACAGGCTTGAGGAAGAGTGGCTGGAAAGTTGTCTGGTGAAAATGGACCTGAACATGAGCCAGCTTGTGCCCAGATGACCAAGAAGGCAAACAGCACCTGGCATGTGTCAGCAATAGTGTGGCCAGCAGGGACAGGTCAGTGATCATCTCCCTGTACTCGGCACTGGAGAGGCTGCATCTTGAACCCTGTGTTCAGTTCTGGGCCCCTCACTACAAGAAAAACATTGAGGTGCTGGAGTATGCCCAGGGAAGGGCAATGAAGCTGGTGAAGGGTCTGGAGCACAAGTCTGATGAAGAACAGCTGAGGGAACTGAAGTTGTTTAGTCTCAAGAAAAAGAGGTGGAGGGAGACCATACCACTCTCTACAACTACCTGACAGGAGGGAGCAGCAAGGTGGGGGTCAGTCTCTTCTCCCAAGTAACAGGACAAGAAGAAATGGCCTCAAGTTGCACTATGGGAGGGTTTACATTAGATATAAGGAAAAATTTCTTCCCCAAAAGGGTTGTCAAGCACTGGAACAGGCTGCCCAGGACTGTGGTAGAGGCAAAGATCCCTGGAGGGATTTAAAAGGTCTGTAGATGTGGCGCTTCATGACATGGGTTATTGGTGGTCTTGGCAGTGCTGGGTTAACAGTTGGACTTGATGATCTTAAGGGTCTTTTCCAACCTAAACAATTCTACTATGATTTCTGCAAACTCACTCCATTAGTGAGCTGCTTCCATAACAAAAAAAAGCCTCCCAAGGTGTCATAAATCCCTTACAAAACTGCAATAACCAAGCAGCTTTCACAGTGCACCTGGAATCAGCTGCAGAGGTTTGTGAGACACAGATTTAAGAACATAAGGTCAGCAAAACCATTTCTTCTCAGACACAGTGGCATGAGTGACATCCATTATTCAACTTCCTGGATACTACTGAATTTCTTTAAACAAAACAACTGCAGAAGCTAAAGGCCTTGGTTTCAAGTTTACATTCAACTCGTCATTGAATCTCCTCCTGTGTTGCCTTCCCTCCCCCCGTTCTGTATCCACCAAGACGTGTACCTTTCTATAAACAGTATAGTTTCCCATTTCTCATGTTAGGAAATTCAAGTCTCAGTATCACAATTTTGCTCTTTCACCAGCTTTAATGCTTTGACTAGCAACACCCGACAGCACCCGCCTGCTGACACTCAGCTCTGCAGGGCCATCTTCATACTTCCCAGGAAAATAATGAAGCTGGAAAATCCAAACACTTATTCCATGAGGGAGCAGCGTAACAAAAGCAAGCACTAACAGTTGTGCTGCTATCTAACATCTCAGAACTCCCAGAGAATGAACTCTTGGGGATCCAGGCACTGAATGTTTCCATATCAGTTTCTTCTGCTTCACTTGACCCTGGCTATTTTACCAGCCTGTTTGTTGGTACTCCTAATAGGAACAAAAATCTGCTATGCGGGTTGGAGTAGTTTACAACAGATGTTTGCCATACTACCTGCAAGAACCATGATAAACTTGCAAGTATTTCATTATTTCAGTTCTGGGGGAGTGAAGGTGATTGTATTGATTTATCTTTGAGGATCTACAACCTTATAAAATAGGTTAGTACTAGAGACGACACATTCAATAGCTACTTCTCCGCTTATGGCTTAGTGTTGCTCCTCTGTACACCACCTTGTGGTGGCAGCTCCTCCAGAAAACTGCAACTCCCAGTTACAGAAGACATTCTTCACCTCTTGATTATTCTGTAGCAAAGAAACAAAGTTGTCTCATATACAAATTGATCAACCTGCTCTAGTGGAAGGTAGCCCTGCCCATGGCAAGGAGTTGGAACTAGAAGAGCTTTAAGGTCCCTTATGACCCAAACCATTCTATGATTATCATATGACAGCTGAAGAACAGCACCCAAACCTCTTTTTTAATGTACACCTGCTGCCAGGGCAGAAGAAGCAGCTGCAATCCAGAAACTGAGTTCTGTGGGACTCATCACACACTCTAGTGGTTACAACAATTCCAGGATCTTACAAACGTAACTTACCTCATCTATGTTTCTGAGCCACTTGCTGATGTTTTCAAAGCTCTTGGCATTGGTGATGTCATATACTAGCATGATTCCCATGGCACCTCTGTAATAGGAGGTGGTGATGGTGTGAAATCGTTCCTGCCCCGCTGTGTCCCTGTAGAAAACAGATAAGAGTATGTATGGGAGACAAGCTATAAAGAAACCAGCACAGTGTTATCTGTTAGATAAGTGTGTGTGGCCCAGTCTCTGCTCTAGTGCACCATACCAAGGGATGTACGATGTCTTCCAAGAGTGGTAGGACTCACTCTGATGTTCAGCAGCAGCAGCTTTAAGAAAGGCCCACTCCTTCTCAGGTGTAGGTCAACACTCAGAGAACAAGGGCAAGTAAGCCCGGCTCATGAGGGTACAGAAATTTGGGGTTTGAAGTTTCTCTTTCGGGTTTTACTTCAAAGCCGATTGTGGAGTATTTTTTCAGATAACTCTGCAGTCTCATCTATGATAAAGACAAGAGACTCTGGACTGGGTTTTTACAGTATCAAGTCATGGTAGAAATTTGTTTATTTTAAACTTTGCATTTTTACTGACAACTTGACACTTGCACCCAAAAGGAGAAAGTTTCATTGCCAAGTGTCGTATCTCAGGTAAGTGTCTCTGAGACATCTGAGTGGAAGCCAGAAACAGATGGGACAAAAACAGGAGCAAGAAATGCTCTACCAATACTTTGACAGGTCCATGAGCTCCAGTAGTGGGAGCATCTGAAGATCCCCAGAAACATCACCGTCCCAGACACTCTCTCCTGCTACTGACCATTCTTCCCAAAGGAACATAAAAACTAGAAGCCACTTTCAACTCCATTTACAATATTTATATTAAATACCCAGACAACTGACCAGCCTGACAAGCCAGGGCACAAACACAGCCAATACTGAACTCAAGTTGCTGTGAGAAATTCCTGAGATTTTGTAGGTTGTTCAGCAGTGCCACTGCTAAAGGCAGCAGAGCCTGGACCTGCAATGACCTGAACCAACCACCCAGTCAACGCCAGCATGCCCACGATGATATCCTTCCATTTCAGCAGCTGCTGCAGAGCCCTTAAGATAATCGCTCAACATTTTCTGGAACTGAGATCTAACACTGTTTTCAGATCAGTTTTATAAAGCTTTAATTTGATCTGACAAATACATATTCCTCAAAGTTTAGATCAAAGCATATGAAAAATAAATCTCATATGTACCATAACATTAAATTATTGATTTCTGTAAGCTATATGCTGAAAACTGATCCTGCAAGATTAATGACAGCACATATTTTCCCATCTCATTCTGAGGTATTTGATGGAATGCATGAGATTTGGTTAAATAAACCTGCATGCCATTAACTTGAGAATTAGGACTTAACAGCATATTCTACAATGTCTATCAGAGGACATAAAAGTAACAGATTACATGTTTGCAAGACGGCTTTCAGTGACACTTCACATAAGAAGGATGGGGACCTATTGGAGTAAGTTCAGAGTAGACCACAAAGATGCTCTGAGGGCTGGAGCACCTCTGCTATGGAGACAGGCTGAGAGAGCTGGGCTTGTTCAGCCTGGAGAAGAGAAGGTTCCAGGGAGAACTTAGAGCAGCTTCCAGTGCCTAAAGAGGCTGACAAGAAAGCTGGAGAGGGGCTTTTGACAAGAGCATGTGGGGACAGGACAAGGGGGAATGGCTGTAAACTCACAGAGGGGAGATTTAGATGAGATCTTAGGGAGAAGTTCTTCCCTGTGAGGGTGCTGAGGCGCTGGCACAGGGTGCCCAGAGAAGCTGTGGCTGGGCCCGCCCTGGCAGTGTTCAAGGCCAGGTTGGATGGGGCAGTTTTCAAGCCCAGGTTGGATGGGGCTTGAAGCAACCTGGTCTAGTGGAAGGTGTTCCTGCCTGTGGCAGCGGGGTTGGAGCTGGATGAGCTTTAAGGTCCCTTCCAACCCAAACCATTCTGTGATTTTACGATAAAAGCAAGTCAGATGCCTATAGAAGGCTTAGGTGAAGATACACTCAAGTAGATAGAAAACTCACGGGGAGAGAAAACAAGCCATGTATGAGTAAGTTCTGTGAGATGTTTTGCAGCAGTCTGCCCTGAGTTTCATGATAGGCATGTGGTTGGGATAAGGGACTAATGAGTACGGTTATTGTACTTAAGATAGGCAGGAAAAGTTGCAAACTATAAATTGTATAGAGGACAGGATTATAATTCAGATTGCTTTTGACTGATTGGAGAAACGTCATTGAAGAAAGTCCTGGGAAGTTCAGCAGAAGCAAATGCAAAGTTACCAAATTCAATGCGTGTCACCAGTTAGTCAGGTGTTGGAAAAATCAGCTTCACCATGAGGAAGGTGAGCGAGATGCACAGTGTCCAAGCCTTGTAGAAAATATTCCTGTATAAGGCTGGTAAGACTTCAGCTGTGCAGTTTGGCTCAGACATGGGCGAACTGCAGGGAGTCCAGAGAGAGTAATAGGTGAGGCTGCATATCTTAGACCTTTGGCCAGTGAGTAAGGTCTAAAGAAATTGAGGTGGCTTGAGAAACTTCAGGGAGGTGCAAAAGCTGTGTTTATGTTAAACTTAACTGTAGAAAGAAGACACATTAACTCCTCTAGTTACCTGTGAAAAGTAAGACAAGGATTCGTGGCCTTAATTTGCACTAAGGGAAAGCCAAGTTTGCCAGCTAAAGAATCACAGAATGGTTTGAGTTGGAGGGGACCTTAAAGGTCATCTAGTCCAACCCCCTGCCATGGGCAGGGACACCTTCCACTAGACCAGGTTGCTTCAAGCTTCATCCAACCTGGCCTTGAACACTGTCAGAGATGGGGCAGCCACAGCTTCTCTGGGCAACCCATGCCAGGGCCTCACCACCCTCACAGGGAACAATTTCTTCCTAAGATCTCATCTAAATTTACTTTCTCCTAGTTTAAAGCCATTATATCAAGCAGGACAGTGTCAGAAAAGCCTTACTAAATCCATCAAGATGTATGGCATCTTTGATTTCTCCCCTCCTGACATGGCCAGCAGCCGTCACACTAAGAATTCAGATTGATTTTACACAACTTGGCATTGGCAACAGCTAGTTGTTACTCATTTATTGTCATGTCTTATGCTTCTACTACTAACTTGCTTAACTCCTCCCATGTTCCTTCTGGCAACTGATGCTAAGCTAATGGATGAAAAGAAAGCTGGGGAAGGAAAATGCAAGAACCTGGAATCTTGCTGCCCTCCCCACCCTCCTTTTTTTTTTTAAGCACTATATTTGCCCTTTCCCCTTCTTTAATGTGTTCTCCATTCATTATTCAGAGATAACTCTTAATGGATGTGAGATTAGAGACCTGACTGAAGCAAACAGAGGAAATGAGTTACATTTTTCAAACTGCCTATGACTGATGAATCCACCCTGAGCAAATGGCACAGACCATCAGAGACCACATGTCATCTTCACTGCCCTGGCCCTCCATTCCTTTGTTCAAACCCCCAGGATGTAAGAATATGCTCCAAAGCTATGGGTGTGAAGTAAATCCTTAACATAGGCAAAAGACATTTGTGGGTGCTAGTAGCTCTTCAAGCTAAAATAAATGCAGACAAAGAGTATTAATATCACCAAGGAAAACAAAGCCCTGCTGCACAAGAGGAAATTGAGAGAACGTGGGTTGTTTGCCTGCAAAATGAAGACAAGGAAGGTCATCCTATGGGACTAGGAAAAGGAGAAACCCAACGAAAGCAAAAATCTATTTACATCATTCTCATGCCAACATTAAAGTATGCATAAGGTGTGTCATGTAAGAGGTTCAACCAGCTGAGAATGGGCTTTCTGGGACAGCTTTCCAGTTGACCTAGCAGAGACTAAAGAAACCTTAAAATGTATTATGATTTGCTTATGAAAGATTTACATGGATGCAACAAGAAGAGATTATATCTGACGATCTGTGAAGATCCTTCCAGTGCACATAGCTCAAAATAAAGCTCTTCGAGGTATTAAACAAAATAATTCCAAAACAATCCTAAGAATTTTATTACTGTTTCTTCTTTTTTAAAATTTTTAATTTTTTTAATTTTTTAGATTTATTTTTAAAACCGTGCAGCAGAATACTGCATTGAAGAAACTGTACTGGTGACTTCACGCACACTCTGACAGCTTTACAGACTGGGTCAAAGACTTTTCTTCACAAAGGAACATCTGAGAGATACAAATTCCAGCTTTTCTAAAAAAAATACACAGTCAGGGAAAAAAAAATATCTATAATGAGTGAAACATCTAACTGTTTTACAGGAAGTCAGGCTGACCTGCCAAAAATCTTGTCAACCTTGAGCTTTGCACATGGTGAATAATCTCAAAAGCTCTCTGCAGCAAGAGTTAACTTTCAGACATTCCTAGCATAATGCATAGAATCAAAGGATAATTTGGGTTGGAAGGGACCTTAAAAGCGCATCCAGTTTCAACCTCCTGCCATGGGCAGGAACACTTTCCACTAGACCAGGTTGCTCCAAGCTCTGTCCAACCTGGCCTTGAACACTGCCAGGGCTGGGGCAGCCACAGCTTCTCTGGGCACCCTGTGCCAGGGCCTCACCACCCTCATACCCAGTAATTGCAAAAATTAATGAGACTGACTGCACACTCGTTAGTGGTGCTGCCTGCAGCTCTGCCTGTGCACCACCACACTTGGGAAATGCAAAACCTTGCACAGAACAGGGCATTTCCACACATGTAACTATTTCCGGTAGCTATGCTGCTGTACGATAATTTTACTTGGATGAATGTTCGAGGTCCTATGATTATTTTCGCAATGAGGTCATTGCTGAATAAAACAGAATTCTGAGGACACTTTTCTAGCCATGTAACAGTGTTCCCAGCAAAGATGCACTGATAGAAAAGATGTTACCTTATGGTCTTCTAAACACTTAGAAGCTGCATACTCAAAAAATAAGACTGTTTCCTACAAGACTGTAGGAAAATAGGCTGCTGCGCAAATTGTATGTAAAGACAGGAGGGTTAGAGCAACAGCTAAGGAGGAAGAAAAAGAATTTAGATGCCCTTGAATCTGACTTGAGTGATTTTTAGTTCACTACAGAAGTGATATTGTCATCGTCCTGCTCCCATGCTAATACAATACTACTGTGATTATTTCATAC